TCATTTCCCTCCTTTTTCAGCTTCTTACATTATAAGGGGACCTCAGAACCCTGAATCTGATCCTCACCTTTAGGACAATCATGAAGAGCAGGTAGAGAAGATGACTCATTGCAATCGTTCTCTTCAGCTGTTGGCTGTTAGTTTTTGTCCATTTGTCAAGATCTTTGTTGCTGCTTGTCTGCAATCAAAGACTGCCCGTCACTACTTGTAGTATTGAGGGCAAGCATGTCCTTTGAGCCTTGCCTTTCCCAGACACTAGCACTTTCATAACTCAGCCTTGAAACTGCCTTTTACCTCCCCTTATGCTGCAGCAACATGTGCATGGCCAACTCAGTTTCACCCTACTGGAAATGCCACTCTGCTATCCACACCAAAGCAGTGCAAACATGTAAATACACACACACACACACACACAAGCATTTATAGTTATGTAAATGTTCAGTGAAGTTGATATGATGACAATACATAAACACATCAGTAGGCAGAACTATGTAAAAAATGGGGGAAAGGCAAACCCGATGTGGTGAGGAGGGAGGGAAATGATCTGAACAAAACAAGAAGCTGCCAACTTCAGCAGAATCTGAAAGCAGCTTTGCTTGAGAATGCAAATGTTCCTCTTTTTACGCACAGCGAGGCAGGACCACCTCCTACATGGAAGTCCAGTCCCACTCCTGCTGAATTTCTGTTTCTACACTGAGAAAGAGGATGTAAGGCTTAGCTTCACAAATAGTTCAAGGCTTCCAATGTTTTCTCGTTGGAAACAGCTGTATAGAGGGAGGGCTGTTCTGAGATCTCTGGGCAGGAGCACAGGCAGGACGGGTACATATGGCATAATGTTAGTCTTAAGCTTTGTGCCTTCCGGTGAACGCATACCAAAACACAGTGGCATCAAGGTGCTTGCACACTGTGTTGGCAGGCAGTTTTATTTTCCTCTGATGTGGAGCTGAAAGTAACTCTGGGAAGGGCTGGGATGCTGCCCCTGGCAGTCCTGAGCTAAGCAGAGCTGGTCTCTGAGGGCCAATCTTGTTTGAGTGAGGCTTGATTAAAGATGAGTGAGAAAATCTGTTCAAAGGAATGGAAAGCCTTGGTCTGTGTTTAAAATCGTTAGCAGACTGTTCCTCGCATAGTGGTGCTGAGGAGGCAGGGCCCTGTTTCTTTTGTGCAGCAGCAGTGGTTTTGTGCTGCAGGGCTGGAGGCTCTCAGCTGCTCAGTCCAGGCAGCAGATCCCTGTGGGGCAGAAAAAGAGGTGCAGCGTCTGACAGTGAGCTTCTTGTCACTGGTGTGGGCAACATTAAAATTCCATATCCAAACATTTCTAGGCAGAAGGATTTAAAATTGATTTCCATTTCCTAAAGATAAGTATGCTTGAATCCATTCAGTGTTTGAATTGTTCAGTTGTGTTGTGTAGTTTCAGTTCAAATCTGAAACTACTCTTCTGTGTCTGAGCTCGGAAATGAAAGCATTTGTGAATTTCCAACAGTGTTCTGGATTTCTATAGAAGATGTAGCGGAAAGGAAGTTTTTTGTTTTGCTTTTAAGATCTAAATATTTGAGTCTAGCTGTTTCTCTTTCTTGAAATTACTGAAACTCAAAAGCAGTCAAGTTCTACAACATAGACAAGCACCTGAACTTTGCACTTTAGGGAGCTCTAATTCTGCTCGTTGCCTCAGTGGTGTAGTAGTGAAAGGAGCCAGCAATGTGCAGAAAGGAATAAGATTAGAAAGTCATAAAAGAGTTATTTATAGGTGGGTCTGCTTGCTCTGTCAATGCTTATTCATCTTATGCTAACATATGAGGCTTTCTCTGAGAAGCAGTTCTGAAGTTCTGGTTTGTACACCAGTGTCCCTGTATAGAGTTGTATTTATTTGCTTGTACTCTTGTGATTAGTGACTGCTGCAAGTTAGAATTCAGTGGGAGAAAGCTAACTGCAGAGGAGCTGGATGTGCAGTTTTTGGCAGTCTCGAGCCTAGGTTCCACAGCATGCACAGGAATTGTTTTGTTTCCCATCCTGTTCTTACTTTTTACAGTCTCTAATAGAAATACAAATATTTTTCCCTAAATGCTTGCCTGAAAAACGTCCAAAAAAATTTAGAAGGCATCTGTCAGGTTTGATGTAATGTTTTAGGGGCCAAAGAGCTGCAGTCAGGTTCCTGTGGTGCAGTGATTCAGGGGAAAATGCTGAGATGCCACTTCTGCAGAAGTTCAGTCAGATGTAGTCTTCATTTTCCTCTGCTTGTTATGCTTCACATGGCAACATTTGCATGCACTAGTTCAACTGTTCTTGCAAAATTTGCAGTCTGTAATTCATTCTGAACTAAGTCTCTCTTCTTGTACTTTGTGGTTTAGCTGAGCAAGACTTCATTTTAAATTTAAGAATGGGATCTGCTTTATCTTGACCAGACTCAGTTGTTTGCTGGCAGTATGGCCCATTCAGCACATGCACTTACAAATACGTGGATGCTCTAATAGACTACAGCAGAGCTAAACAGCCCATTTTTCAAGGCCAAGATATATCCAAATCAACTGGCAGCTATGAATGCCTTGACTATAAGGTTCACAGTTGCTGGTAATAAAAATACGGCTTTAAAGCTAAGAAGGAAACTAAGGGGATAGCTGGAAGTCAGCCAGAATATTGTGTGTCTGACTGAGGTGAAAGTGGCTAGTGTAGTGTTACTTAGGGAGTGAAATAAAGCGAAGAGGTGTCTGTTATGGGGTGAGTGGAGTCCTTTGAGGTCTGGTGCTTAGTTGCCCATCTCATTTCACTGCAACACTGAGATCACTGAGATTGTGTCTCTCAGCCAGGACTATTGGAAACTGGGGTAAAAAGAAGTTCTAGAGGAGTGAAGAGAGACCCTGCAGAAGAGTTTCCCATGGCTTTTGGCTCTGTAGGTAGAGAAAAAAGAGTTGGAGTAAATGAAGAAATGAGTTTTTGGAGCGTTTGAGCCTGGCAGTGCAGAGGCATTGTAACCTGTCAGGGCCTGGAAGAGGGCCAAAGGAAAAGCACAGGTCCAGGTTGTATACTGCTTTTAAATCTGGGGTGGATACTGCAGCCAGAACATAGCTTGGTGTTCAGTTCCTCTTGCAGCTATTCTGCTTTGCATGTCTTAATGTGCAGTTTTTGGGTGCCACGGTTTAAGAAAGACAAAGGGCTGTTAGGAAGTGGACAAAGGAGGTACGCAGAGAGAGTCTAGAGGGCAGGGTGTGTGGGGAGTATGGCTGAGGTCCTTGGGTTTACTCAGCACAGAGCAAGGAGCTGAGGGGAGCCCCCATAGCGGCTGCATCTCCTCACAGGGAGCGGAGGGCAGCGCAGAGCTCTGCTGTCAGTGGCAGAGGGAACGGCATGGAGCTGTGTCAGGGGAGGGCAGCTGGGGGTTAGGGAACAGTTCTGCACCAGAGGATGGTGAGCATGGAACAGGCTGTACAGCGCAGTGGGCACAGCCCCAAGCATTGGAGTTTGAGGAGTACTTGGACACTGCTCTCAGATGTAGAGTTTGGAATTGAAATGGTCCTGTGTGGAGCCGGGGGTTGGACTCCGTGGTCCTTATGGGTCCATTCCAACTCAGGATATTCTGTGATTCTGTGAATATGAATTATTCATTAAATTCAAAATGGGAGACTGTCTGGGAGGGTGCTGTAAGGAAGGAATCCTAATTTGGATATATGTGAGGAAAACAGATCCTGCCTTTGTTTCCTAAGCTGCATGCCTAGTTCCAGGTGGCCTGTCATCTCTGTTCTTTACTGAAAGATTGCCTCAGTTTCCTTTGTTCATTGAATTGCCACAAAATCTTTCCCAACACATTTCACGCTACTCTTTTCGCTTTGCAAATCAACACATAGTCAGTGGGTGATGATAGGCCAGGAGTCACCTAATAGTGAAAAAAAGCAATTCCATGGCTTGCAGGCAGCCTCCAGCTTGCTCCTTCCCCCAGATTAGTGAGAATTTATGAGCCACATATATAAGTTAGTTGTGCAGAAACCACTGTATACTGCTCTTATCTCTGGATCCCATGGACAGGCAGCTTTGGCTGCTCAGTGCAGACTGGCGGCTCCAGCTTGCTGCAAGGTATTGGAAGCTGCATAAGCCGGAGATGGCAACGGTACAGCAGTTGTGATGCCTTTGGCTTTGCCACAGAGACAGTTTCCATAGTGATGGTTAAGCTTCAGGCCACTGGTGATGCAGCTGCTACATTGGACAAGATCAGCATCTTCTTTATATATAGGCTGCTCTAATGAAGCCGTATGGCCCCGTTTGGTTGTATCCAGCTCTGGGATGTAAAATGAGAGATGAGGGGAAGGTTTAAACTGGCTGAAGTACTCAGAAAAAAAAATAAAATAAAATAAATGTATAAGTGTTTTAAATATTAGAGCATCCTCAAATGACTGTTGTAAGAAACAGCTTGACTGCAGCTAGTATTCTGGTCAGTACTTTCTGTGATATCACATGCCATTGTTAATAGCTCCTAAGGTTCTTCAAGCTGGAGAATTAGATTTGTGTTCCCAAGTCCTACTTCCTTTTCTAAAACATTGTGGCTGGATTGGATCCAAAACCAGAATGTGTCTCTTTCTATATCAAGACCATACATTTTTAGGGACTTGAGGAGAGCAGATGGTCTTGCAACTTCAGTATCTCAAACACTGAATTGTCCTAGGATTCCCTTGACCCCTCCTTCTGGATATCTCAGCACCTCAGCATAGATATATGAAATTAATTTTGAGCTCCTTCTGCAGGGTCCTACAGCCTATGGTCTCCCTTTGTTTACTGCTGGGGCAGAAGGCACAATATCTCCAAGTTCTTGACTGGAAATGCACATTTTTTACTTCAGCTTTGAATTCTTATCGACCTGCTTTTTGAGTGCTGCAGCATATGAGTAGGAACTGTGTGTTAAACAGCTCAATTAAAATAATAACTTGATAATTTTGACCCAGAATTCTAGTAGTTTTAAACATTAATTGTTCTCTTGTGAGCTAGAAGCTAAAATAAGTTTATGTTTTATCTTTCAGGTGGTGCAGGAGACCGGGAAAAGATGCCTGTCAATCATGAAGCTTTCCTGCTCATGGCTAATTCCCAGAATGAAATGGAAGATTGGGTGAAAGCCATCCGACGGGTTATATGGGCTCCTTTTGGTGGAGGTATTGCAAATAGCTCACATGCACATAAATTAAAACATTTGCCTCAAGGTAAAACATATTCTTGTGATACTAGGATATGTGTAACACTGTAAAATCACTGAGATGCCTAGATAATCTCTTGATTGTCTGAAGTGTTTTACAGCACGGAGATTGGGCTAGGCTTTTTTGCCAGGGGATGGAAGGGAATGGAAGCGGAGGTCACATCCACACTGTATTACTTACAGTCAGAAATGGTGATAATAACAAAAACGTTTCTATTGTCAATGTCCACTTTCTTAAAGCTGATAACTACTCTGTGGATCTCCCTTATTCTTGTAGTTGTAAAAGAGTATGTCCAGTTATCTCTGGCTTCCACTTCAAGGGCAGATGCCCATCTTTAACCTCCTCGAAGGCAGAGGCTGCAAAACTCTTTATTTGGTCTGGGCCTGGTTGAGAAGACTGAGCTTCCACTGGCTTGACTGTGGGAGAAAAAGAACAGGGTCAAGTTGAGAGAGCACCTGTAAAGTATACCATAGTAGATAGTCCCTGTATTTAAAATGAACAAAAATGTTGATACTGTACTACAGTCTTCAAATTCTCATGTTGTAAGATTAGGTGGACGTTTTAACAGTGTGGTACAGAACAAGTGTTCACGGATGTTTTCTGCTAGGTTCGCTGTTAGTGGTAGCAACACTTTGAAGTGGCTACTGATGGGCATCTACGCAGATAGTGATATCATGTGTAAATAGAGATATCAGCCTCTTTTAAGAGGTTAAAGATAAAGGATGAAGATATTTAAGGATGAAAAGAGCTAGATAAGAGTTAAATAATACAATTAGCTTTTCTGAAATTAAATTACTAATTCCCGAATCCAGGGTAAAAAAGTGATCAGTGCAATTGAATTTGGCTGAACTAAGGTTGCTAAGAAGATCCAGCTGGCTTAAGCTGCCCTGTAGAAGTGAAGCATAGTTGGAAAGAACTGAAATTGTGTATAGAGTTTTTATCTCTGGATCAAAGCTACTCAAGAACATGGCTGATCAGACTGGCCTTAGCTCTCTGCCTTGCTGCTCAAATTCAGCAGGCCTAAATCTAGCTTTGTTATGTCTGTTATACTCTGCAGTCAATGCTACGTGAACAGATTCTTATCCTATGGTTTCAGCACTCCTCTCAACTGACTGTGTACTACCTGCAGTGGGCTTCTCCCACCTTACAACTATGTTGCCACCACATTTGGTTTTGCTGATACCAGTGGTTATGCTGTGCAAGGGGGAATGACTCGGGAGAAAAAAAAAAGTGGGAGTGAATTAGCTTTAAGGTGGATTGTCTTCTTCGCCCAGCTGTGCAGGCAGGAATAGCAGCAGTTCTATCACAGTGAGGGTGGTGGGGTGGAGAAGGGCATGCTTGTTCATTCTGGCTACAGCCCACGCTTCAGTTGGCTTAAACAAACCATGGAACTGGATCCTCAGTCTCTCCTCACAACATGTTTATAAGAATGCCAATAACTGGGAGATAGTTAAAACATCCAAATCATTGTTTCTAAATGATCAAGACTATCCCTCCTTCGTCAGAATCAGAGCAAGGTGAAATCCCAGCCTACCTCAATTGTGGGAGGACTCTAAACATAGCTGTCTCTGTTTTGATTGAATAATTTGAAATCTGCTTTGCTACCGCTGCTAATTGGAGAGCCAAGTCTTATCTATCGACACTTTTTAATATATGACGCTAAAGGAATGGGAGTTAGGAATTATAATGCAGGCTTCATTATTAGTATGTAAATATCCAGCTCTGGAGAAGGCTGATATGATGTAGGAATGAATTATGCCAAGATAAAATGAGAGGCTTAGCGCCACTTTAATCTTTGCTGATGTATTGAAGAAACATATAAATCAAAAAGTTGAAGGTATCTTCTTATGTGTTGGGCTGGACACATCATCTATGTTTAAAGGTGAACAAAACAAAACAGAAAACACTCCCAAGCTGCCAAGGATCCAAAATCATTAATAGAAGACATGTTCAGGCCTAAAATCCATACGGAATGCATTTGAAATGTGGTCTTAAAATAAAATCCTAGAATTCCCAACTCTTTTAAAGAAGGGTTGTCCTGTTTATGGAGAAAATAATTTGGAACCATTTCCGTAGTTTTTAGGCTTCTGAATTCTTGAGTCCAGGCCATCTCATTCAGAGTTGAGATTTAGAGTAAGCTGCATGTTTGAGTTTATGTCTTCAGGAATAATGTTTTTACAGAGGCTTGATACAAGTAAATTTTGGAGCACATTCTGACAAAGTGTTTAAAATTTTTCCTCTGATCCTTCTTACCTCCAAAAGGAACAAATTTTGCTCTGTGTTTACACCACTGAAAGTTTATCTAGAAAAGTCCCTCTGAGCCTTACAGTCATGTTGTTCTCTGGTTGCTTTTTAATATGGAAGCCTTGTAGTTGTGACATAGTGCTAGAAGTATAGCTAGTCCACAGGCTTGGGTGAGAGTGAGCCTGCCAGCATCCTCTGAAATGGGACGTATGGAAAATACTGGGAGTAGCGAGGTGGAGAGGTGATCTTTCCTCACTCTAAATCAGCATTGGGATTGTACCTCCATCTGAAGAAGAAATATGGCTACTCTAAGGAGGTCTCTTGCCATCTATTCACCTCTTTTCATGTCTTCTTCATTTTTGTCTTGTGTAAGATTTAAAACATAATGTGTCTCAAGCTGAATTTGGGCCTGGTGGTACAAAAGCAGAGTTTTTCAGTGTTCTGAGCTGAAAGCCCTGAAGTGCGTGTAGCAATCTTATAGCCCAGCACATGACCAGCACTGCATGGGGACAGAATTATTTTGTGAACCATGTGCTGTGTTTGTATGTTTCCCTCTGTTTACTTGCTGTTTCTTGCCATGAGCAGTCTCCTTGCTCCTCTGCCAGAAATGCATGTTCCAGCCCCTTTCTTTCTCGATTACTTTATCCTAATTCCTCCTTCTTGTTATCCTAAGCTTTCATCAGTTCCTTGTGATGGAAGGGGAGTAAAACAGTTGGAGGGAATGTGCTTCCCTTAGGCAAACGAGGAGGGCTTTACCTGTGAAAGCATAATCATTCTGAAGGAACTCCATGGCCTTTTTTTCATATGAGAAGAAACATTTCTGAGGGATGGCAACTTTTTAACCAATGGACTGTGCAGAAGTGTCCACTGGGAAAGCTGCTCTGCTATCATTAATTCCAATTTCTCTATATAGACAAAGCTTGTCATGTGGATTCTTTCTTTTGCCAGCAGAACAGTGCAGAGGAAGATTGTGCTGGCAGTCAGAACCTTATGCAGACCATTTTTTATATTTGAGGAGAGCTGAGAATCAGAGGAGGATTTTCCAAGGTTTAATTTAATATCCATCTCAGTGTCATTATTAGTTGTGTAAGGATAGTCCTACGTAGGCCTAATGAGGTATCCTATTTTTACATAAGTAAATGTCTTTGTGATAAAATCTGCGTGAAAGAAAAGTTACTGTTTTGAAGGATCTGATGTTGTTATTAGATGTGCACATCCACAAGGATACCAGATTCTTTAGGAACTTGGTATTATGCTAAGTCTTGTGAGTTTGGGGTTTAATTTTTCCACCTGTTAGATGGGGATTTTCCAATAACACCATCATGACCACAGAATAGTATTTGTGGATTTAAGATGCTAAGATATCACAGAAGAGCAAAGAGGTGACTTCTGCTCTTCTATCTGCCCAGTATGAAGACTGAGAACAAGTTTCTGCTCCATGTCTGGTTAGAGGGCTCCCCTAGAGAGGCAGATTAGAGGATTCCTGCCTGAGCCTCAAAGAGCCCTCTCATTTGGTTGCAGGGTGGGCTTCTCTTGCTTAGGCTCCCACAGGTGTGTGGGGAGTGGCACTGGGTGTTTGTTGTGCCTATGTGCTGTTATCTCTGCATGGAGACAGCTGGCGCCAGGTTCAGCTTATCAGTGTTTGCTCTTCAGTGTTGTCTCATAGTAGGAGGTGGGCCCAACCAAGGGGGGAGAGAGAGAAAAATGATAGGGGTTATGAGTTCAGTTATCTGCCTAGGACTAGGAGATGCATGAATAATCTGAGGTGATTCTGGCTAGCTTTACCCCAGGCAGATGTATTACAGGAAGTTACACTTGTGGATATAGATGTTCGGATGCAGAGCTGAAGTTGGGAGCAGGTGTCTTGCTGTCTGTCTGAGCTACTCGCAACAGAAAAAAAATTTAAGGTTCTAAGATCTTTCTCTGAGATCTGATTAAGTTACTTTTTTTTTTTCTTTTTTTTTTCTTTTTTTTTCTTTCTTCTGACCATCAGATGTATCTGGGGCTTTTATTGCTTCTTTATGCCCAGTGTATTCCATCACCACAACACAAACTTGAAGTAGAAAAAGGCTGTTGTCCTCCTTTTTTGTCAAGAAGGAATTTGAAGTACTGAGCAATCAAATAAGTTGCCTGAGGTAACACTGAGTATCTGTAAAAGAGCCATTCTGGAGGCATCACTCAACAAGGTAGATAGTAGAGTCACAACCCCCTGGGACTCAGGGGAGCAGTTGATTTAACTGTTCAGATGTTCTTGAAAGAGTCCTATGGGATAGAATCCTGGAGAGAACAGGGGTCTAGGAGAGCTGTTTTCAAGGATTTTCTCCTCCAAGCTCAAGAACAGTCCTGATGTGCAGGAAATCAAGCAAAGGTGGAAGGAGGCCTACGTGGATTAAAAAGAAGCTCTTGACAATGCTCAATCTGAAAAAGGAAGTACAGGAAGAGTGGGAAAAGGGGCAGGTGAACTAAGGAAAATATAGAAAAGCTGTCTAAGCATGCAGGAATGGACTTAAGGAAGATAAAGTCTATGTGGATTTGAATCTGATGAGGGATGTGATTGTCAACAAGAAAGGCTTCTTCAGTTATATCAGCAGTAGAATGAAGACCAGGGAAAATGTAGGCCCACTACTGAAAGAGATGGGAGATTTGGTGACAAAGGATGAAAAAGGTGCTACGGTATTCAATGTCTTCTTCACCTCATGTTTTACCGCTGAGGTTTGCCTTCAGCAGTCCCCAGTCCCTGAGGCCATTGGGACAGTCTTGAA